GACCAGGTAAAAAATGGTAATGGTATGGTATATACATTGAATGACCTTAAATGACCTTTTATGATCGTAATGACCATCTCACCATGTCACAAGTGTTGTAAATCCTTGACCATTGTTGTTGTTATTATTATTATTATTGTTATTATTATTATTATTGTTATTGTTATTATTATTATTATTATTATTATTATTATTATTATTATTGTTATTATTATTATTATTATTATTATTATTATTATTATTATTATTATTATTATTGTTAATAAAGGACAGTGCCTGGCAACAATACTCGATGAAGCCCATTACATCCGTAAACAAACTAAATCTAGAGAGTCATCAAATAAATTCATATAAGATTGAAGTTAAGGTTCTGGCGGTAAAGTAATTGTTATTGAGTGAAGTCAGGGAACAGTGAAATTATTTAATTGTTCCCTGATAGAGTGAAATCAACTGCACAACGAACGCACGTAAAATTGTAAAGCGAACAAGAAATTACTTTAGATACTCACAATTGGATGTTCTGAATAAGGCCAAAGGCGAGTCACATATAAGGACGGCACGCCAGCAGCCCACTAAATGCAATAATATAGGGGGAAAAGTGAAATTTAAATTAAGAAATACATTTAACATCTTTCTACCAAAAGCTATTGATATTGCGGTCTGGGGCTTTGATGCCACCTTGCCTTATAATTTTATATTGTGATTCTAATTAGCCTCCCCAAAGGAGGGAAGCTTCGGGAGGATAACGTTTTTACAATGTCCTTGCTGTTGGTAATGTGTTTCTTACCACAATAACTAAAGTTTATTAGGTCCGATTGGTTTCAAATTTTACAGAATGCAATATTGCAATTAAGAGACGAAGCCTATTGTTTTGGCACGTGTGTGAATATGTTAATTGTTCATTTGCATATTAATATTTCACTAACCAGGAAATTGATACTAGTTACCACAATAACTAAAGTTAGGTAAGCAGAATGCAAGATGGTAATAAGAAGGAGCCTATTGTTTATGATACGTGTGTGAATATGCTAATTAGGCCTACTCTTTTGCATTATTATCTATTTCACTAATCAGGAAATTTACGCTAGTTACCGCGATAATTAAAGGTTGGTATGTCTGATTCAAAGTTTCAAACATATCAGAATGCATTAATAAGAAAACGAGCATAATGATTTTTTTTTTGGTTCATTGTCATTGTCACTGTTGTAGTCAAATGTCTGTTTCCACGATAACTATTTTTTTGTCATATCAGAACAAAATTCACACCATGGGGAGACTATACTAATACTGGGCAGCGTAAAAGGAGCATATCTAGTTGATAATATTTGCTAACTGCTAAAATAAAATGGCGATAACGGACACCCCTGTTTTACACTCAATGTTAGTTCAAAGTATATAATTACAAAGTAGTCATCATTTATGCTACTATTTCTCCGTAATACAATGTTTTAAACCATAATTGGCTAAATTATTTACTACGATATTTAAATTGTTTAAGATTAGGGTTAGGACTATGACATCTCCATGTATCTTTTAATTGAAAGAATTCTCGGTCCCCGGCCAAGTGACTCGTCGGTACGCCACTGGTCCACTGGCTTTCACTCACCCGTGGGACAGCTTTACCGGCTGCCCCGTCGGAAAAATATATGCGCCAGCACTGATGTGTATCGCTATTTCTTGAATTATATTTATTTGCAACTCGATAATATCTCATTTAGTTTTAATCAATTAATGGATCATTAATAATAGCAGTGTAATAGATAAGGAAAGGAATAACGTATCTCTCTAGACAGCTATTTTTCTTACACAGTACAAAAAAAGCACTAATTACACCTCTAATCAAAAGCCAACACTTGACTCGGAAATTCTAAGAAAAATTATCTACCTATTTCGAGCTTGACGTTTGTATTCAAAATTTCTGAGAAGGTTGTTGCCTCACAGCTGAATGACCATCATTTTGAGCACGCCTTGCACGAAGTGTTGTCTCCACCATGCCTCCACGTGCTCTAATCAGCTTATAAAAAGGACCATGGAACTGAGTCTGCATTACTGCGTGTGCAAACTGATGTATTAACCAGTATCGATAGTGGTTTTGGAGTGTTGCATTTACTGCTTGATCTCTCGGCAGCCTTCGAAACTATTGACCACCGTCTCTTTCTTTTACGATTAGCATTTGTCGGAGTGAAAATCTAGCTCTTGACTGGATCTTTTCTTACCTTGAAAATAGAACACAGGTTAATTTAGACTTTAAGAAGTTTAAATTACTCCATAAACATAAGTTTGGTTTTAGGAAAAAATTTAGTACTAAACTCTCCTTAATAAATTTAGTAAATAATTTCCAATTTTATCTAGACAATTCAAAATTTATTTTCGGTATTTTTATTTACTTTTCCAAGGCTTTTGATACAATTAATCATGATATATTACTTTCTAAACTAAGTTTTAGGTATAGCTTTACGTTGGATTTCTAATTACCTAAGCATCAGACTTCACTTTGTATCTTCAAATAATCTTGTTTCTGATAATTTACCTATAAATTGTCGTGTCCCTCAGGGATCGGTGCTCGGTTTAATTTTATTTCTAATTTACATTAATGACTTACTAAATTCTACTGACTTTTTGCTGATGATTCCAATTTATTTAAAGCTTTATTTATGCAAATCTATTAAAACCTATGAAAAATATATGAAATTAATACACAGTTTCAAGAAGCAATTGATTTGTGTAATACCAACAAATTAACAATAAATACCGATAAAACCAAGTTTTTTTTTTTTTCCGTTTAAAAAATAAAAATATAGCCATCATTGGCTCTAACAAAATAAATGAAATTTTATTTTCTGAAACGGATTCAGTTTATTCTGTTGGTGTTACTTTGGATAAATTTATTTCGTTTAAAGAGCATATTATTTTTTTTTTTCCTTTTGTGGTAAAACATCACTTTTATTCATTTTCATCTTCAACATGAATTCTTAATCATCATTTCTTTGTCAAACTTAGTCTAAGCTAATTATATATTTGATTTCTTTCTTTTTTTTCTCCCTCTTATTTGCAGTCCCTACCATTTTTATATACCTTTTTTCATTATTTTCGGTGTTTCATCATTTTTTTTTTCAATCAATCTGACCTTTAAACAATCATAAATCAATCAAAAATTTGATACTTTCAACTTAAATTAAGACATGAAATTTCAACTTTTCGGTTTTTTTTACATATAAAATAACACGAGCTTGATATATTTTGATGCTTATCACTCAATCGATCGATCAATCAATCAATCAATACATCAGTAATGTAAGCAAGCAATCAATAACAAAATACATCAAAAATAAATTAACTGAACAGCAAAACAATTATCAATTTCTCCGCCCATCATCCACATATAAGTTGAACACAATGATGTTAATAGAAAAATATATCCCATCAGCCATCAAGTCAACACCTACAATTCTAATATGAATAGGTCATTAATTTTTTTTTCATTTTATATTTATTATTTAAAGAGCATATTATTGAGTTAAACAACAAATTTAAAAATCGGGTTGGTATCTTGTTTAAACTACGGCGCTGTATCCCTGAGGGCACACTAACTATGCTTTATAGTGCTTTTATTCAGCCACATCTAACTTACGGCATTGAGATTTTGGGTAATACTCATGAATTTTATTTAAAGCCTGTTTTAGTTACACAAAATATGTGTGTGAGGTGCATTACATTTTCTGATTTTAGAGCAGCGTTTACTTCAGGGTCTATTTACGATTCCATGCACAAAGTCGCGGCCCATCAGCCCAACCGCGCCAGGGGCCAACATACCAAATCCTGGCAAGAACTTTTGATCATTAAGCCTCCATGTATATGCAATATTTTGACATCATTATCTGTTCTCTCAGTGATAAAATTTCATTGTATACAAATTAAATATTATTTTATTAAATAAATAATGCCGTACATTTGTGTTTCCCAACACCCCCACCTACAATTGTTGATTATTTTCTTTCTACCATGATTTAACCAAGCACGGTTCAGCCACACACGTCACAGCTTTCTCCTTCTTCCAAAAACTTTAATGCACACTACGTTACTCCGCAACTTTGAAAGACTACCTTACTATACAGGTATTATGTTTATTAATAAAGTATCCACACGGGCATTCGGTTATCAAGAAATGTGTGGCGTTGTTTAATGTAGTGATCTTTCTAGGACAGGTCTTATATTTATTTTTATCTTTAGCTTATGACTCATCCCTTTCATTCGGGCCGCGGACCATAGTTTGCAGAACGTTTAGAGAACATTCAGCACCACTGTTTTATTCACTATTCACTTAAATATTTAAACTTTATAAATTATGTGTCTCTAAATTTATTTATTTTTATTTATTTAATAATAGATTACCTCATCTGATTAAATTACTGATCATTCATATTGTACTCGGTTTAATAATCACTTTAATTTAGCTATTTTTTCGTGTCATATTAATCTTGGACGGTCAAGAATTACATTCTCTGGTGCTCGTATTTGTAACAGTCTACCTTTGAAAAGACGCCTGAATGCCCTCTCCTAACCCTCCAACACACACAATGACCGACACTTACACAAATACAGTTAGACAATTTTTGATTGGAAAGTGTTTATTTTAAGAGGCTTCTATCAAATGCAATGAAACAAACAATGCACATTGACTTTTATTTTCACAGCCTATGTAAAACCGATTGTTCGCGCCAAGACAGTTAATGCTGGTGATAGCAACGTTATATTGGGCGTCAAAAAATTTAACGGAAGTGAAAATGACTTACGATGGGCGAAGGACGGAACTTTAGAAAATAAATGGGACGGTTTGAAGAAGATTATATTCGACACGATTACCGTAGCTGATGCTGGGATTTATGAATGTTTTGAATATGACAGATGGGAAGAACGAAAACACGCTTTTATGCAGCTGATTGTAAGAGGTAGGTTTTATCGTTGGTGCAATTAATAACTTCCACTTTACAGCATTTTGATTTCCTAGCCAAATGTCTAACTGTTCTTCCCCTCTCTGCAACTCCCGACACTCTTTCCGTCTCCCCATGCATTCTCTGTCGCATTTTTTCCTTGGCCCTTATCTTTGTGTCTCTTACATTCTCTCTTTTTCTGAGGAATCCAGAATTATTCGTTGGTAGTGGGGAGGAAGAGAGGGTTGGGGTGCTTTCATGTAGCTTTTTTCAAATCCACCTCAACCCCACCATGGTAGGGTGACGTTCGAGATTTTTGCGAATGCCACATTAGATGCCCGAACATGTCATTTTCATACTTTAAAGATGCTTTTCAAAAAGTGTCTTAATTTGCTTATTAATTTCAATTTTCGATTGTTTTGGTTAAATCGGAGGCATGATGTTGGTAGACCTTCAGATTCATGTTGACATTTAGAAGGTGGGGATAGGATAACATTGGTAACCTTATACAATGAATATATCAAGAGACATCCTATCCACCTCACCCCCACGGTGGCCGGAAACTGAGGTGCGAAATTGCATCTGTACAAATCAGGAAACGATGCAGTTTCAGACTAAATAAAAATGCTACACACACACACACACACACACACACACACACACACACACACACACACACACACACACACACACACACACATATATATATATATATATTTAAATCGAATGTTAAACTGAAGATGTTAGGGTAGATTATCACCTCATACAAATATTAGAGTATAAGAATTTGTCACCTCAAGAAGCCTCCATGGTATGTGTACTATCATTCATGTAATTGGATACACTTTTTTATAAGAGCATATTTTATAAGAAAACTGAGGCTAAAATTACTCAACAAAATATGATCAAACTGAGAACAAATTCAGACTGAGGTACAATTGTCAAATGATGGTTCTATTTAAACAAAAATAGAAAAACCGACAAATGAAGCTAGTCATACACAGTAAAAGCATTATTGTTTTTAAAGGTTATACTGTAAAAATATTTTGGCCTTATTATGTACCTTTTGCAGTAGGTGTGACTATGTAATACCATCCTCTATAATGCAGCACAGTAACATACTGCAGTACAAAAATAATTTTCAATATTTGATTGTAAGATAAGATCAAAATAAAAACAAATTGAGGCCGAGGTAATATCTTAAATGAGGTTTTCATTTTTAAAAAGTTAGAAAAACTAACAAATCAAGCTAGTCACACACAAGAAAGTATTATTAATGTTTTACAAAAAAAAAAAAAAAAAAAAAAAAAAAACACTGAACACTGAGTCTGAGCAAAATATTACTGGTTGTTATATAAAAAGTGTAAAGAGTCTGGACGTTAAGGAATGTCCTACTTGTTACTTGTTATTTGTATAGCGCCTTTCTTTTCATTTACTGTACGAAGCGTTTTTTTTTAACTCAAAATGACGTGGGTGTGGTTGATAAAAATTATGTCTTTTATACAGTACAATCAGACCTTACTAAATGCTTATTTATGCCTACTTACATATTATTTTACCACGAAAAAAACTGGCAGGTAAGATTTTATGGACTATTGAAAAAAACTCTACTTAAAAATAAAAAAATTCTGACAATAATAATTGTAACATCTAGCATGGATATGGCTGACTTGTGTTTCAGAATGTCCACATAATAAATGGTCTCCGCCTCATTGCAACATGAGCTGCGATGTGTGCTACAATGGAGGGGTGTGTGATACATACATCGGGACCTGTATATGCCCTTCGGGATTTGATGGAAGTAATTGCGAAATACGTGAGTATATAAATGAATACAGCATACTTACATTTTATACAATTATATAATTTTTACCGGACTTAAACTTGAGGAATTCAAGCTAAGAATTAGTGTAATTAGGCCTATTGAAGAACTATCTATACAGAAGCAGTAAAGGACCGAAAGGCAAGTAATGTATGCAGTGCATACCCTGGAAAAACACCATGGTTAAAGAAAAGGGAAAGTTTTATTTAGGATTTTTTAGCCACTATTTTCTATACCAACCTTAATTTTTGGTGGTGAATGCTACAGTTTATTGGAATACCTAAGTTAATATTGTTATTTTTTTTTTGCCTTCTTTGGAACGCCTATCCAAGATAAGTCACCTAAACTACTCGACTCCAGCCTATGGAATCGAACAGCAAAATTTTAGCATGTCTGGTTTTCAATATCAGTCAATCACGTAGCCTATTCAGTGTATCAATGGAAGTTAGAGTATACAGTACATTATAATGGTTAAATATTTTGCTTTTATGCCAACCACGTGGTGGCGTTAGAATAGCAAATTTTACAATGAAATGAAAGCGCTGCTTCCAAGACTACCGTATGTACGAAAAATCCTCATTGCTTCTATCTACTACAGCAGTGCCTAAATCTTGGATTTCATAGAACAGCTACACGTTATCACAGACAGGTTTCAGTGATATTGATTTGTCAGTCGAATTGGGGAGCCCTCCCTAATTGCGTTGGGGACTCTACGCAGTAAAATGATTACACTGAAAACGCTGTGTAGTGATAGTTAGTGATTTAAAGGAAATAAGGCTTTACAGTATCTGTCCACTACAGTCGATTTTGTAATTTGTATTGCCAGACATTCTATAATCTCAATGATTAATGTTAAAATAAATTTGGATACATACGACCGATAAGTAAGAAACTTGTAATTTGTTAAACGTCAGGAAAAGGAATTTCCGTCAAGAAAATCTAAAACCATGTCGGTATAAATATATACATTTGTATTTTGACTATAAAACGTAGTCTTTGATTGTGCTAACAATTTTTTTTCTTCTTATATACAACAATCATCATCATTAATATTAAAAATTGTTAGTAATAATATCATTATTATCATCACTTTTAAAAAAAATAATATGGAGAAAAAAAAAATCTTCAATAGCAGGTAAGTAAAGTATTATATTCGATTTCAAATTACCTTTTTTATCCGGCATGTAAATATTTATAAATTATTTTAGGTTTGGTTTGCACCGTAAATTTTTTATTTTGGTTTTACAGCTACTGGTGGCAATACATTTGGACGCGACGGTGGAACCCAATGCACAACTGGTAATAATGAAGGATGCGAAGGGAAACTGATTTGCCCACCAGCGCCACAGGGTTGTGCCTGCCACGCCGGCTGGAAAGGATTTCGTTGTAAATGGAGTAAGTTTATAACGGATTGAAATTTCCAAATTCTTCCTTCACATTTAACCGACAGTTCTCAATTTTCTTTTATGGTAAATTTAGAGGTAACATAGAATTATGTAAAATATCTGTTTTCCTGAAGCTAAACAAACTACATAATCATTATTAAAAAGATAATTTTTTCATGTAATTATAAATAATACAAACTTACAATATAGCTAAATTATGTATATAACGCTAATATTATTTTGTTCTAATAACTTGGTAAATATTCACGTGTACGCCATTATTAGGTCAATCTATTACTAATATAAATAATGTAATAATTGATAAAAATAATTAAAAGGCCTCATAACAGTAAAATAATTTTAAGAACAACAATATGATCATACAAGTATATTGATAATTTCAGTATGTGGTCTGACAGTGTACGAAATGTAATTTTACAGATGTAAATCACAACTAAAAATAATTACGCAGAAAAATAGCCATCGTATACAAGGCATTTTTTTTAAATAGAACGTTTAATATTTCTTCATATAATAGTAACATAAAATCTAACTCTTTTGTTGTTATATTATTAAGAATGTAAAAATGGCAAGTATGGCGCTGACTGTCTACAAGTTTGTCATTGTGACAACTGTGATCGTTTCATTGGCTGTGATGTGAACGCAACATGTCGCCATGGCTACAGTGGCCCAAGATGTTTAGGTAAAGAACATTTCAATATTAATATTATTGTTATTAAGATTAGTATATTACTTACCTTGTGAATGTGAGACATAGGCCTAATGCAACACACAGCGTTTGTATTAATTTGTGTTGATGAATTTCAGGAACAAGCTTCCAAAGACCGCTAACATTTTTTTGTCATGCATAATGAATTTTCACCAACCAGTGGTTAAAGCAATGACCTAGTGTGTTTTTTATATAAGATTTTAACTTTTTTGTGTTGACATGACCATAGGCCTACCATCTAAAGTTGTAAAATTGTATGCCATCAATAAACCCTGGATTAGGCAACAAAAAAAAAAATGTGTTGGCTAAGCCCGACTGACCCAAAATTTACGAAATTCGAAATTCAGGGTCGGCATTTTAGTTTTCTTCTTTCCGTAGTTTCCCAGGTATAATCCCACCCCCGACTTTACGCCCAACTTTGTGTACAAGAATTTCCCCGTGTACGTCCCAGGGTATTAGGTGAGTAGGCCTAGGCATAGGTCGGTAAATTTAACAAAACAAATAAAGGAGTTGTCTCCAAATTCTGCCGACTTAAAGCACTTCCAATTGCCTAGTCCAGACATTGGTGGTCGCCGTAAAGTTGAATAATTCTTTTGTTGTTTACTGTCGGCGAACACTGCTTTCGCTAGAGAGACGGTCAATATGCAGCATTCATATTGATCAGTTCACTTAAAAGGCCTTAAATAGCGCCCTCTATAATTTCTGCCAATGCGAATAATAGCAAATAATAACTAGTCTAATTTACATAGAGGATAAATGTGACTTATTAATTCATTATCATCATCATCTCTTCCTCATCATCATCATGAACATTATCATCATCCTTATCCTCACAATATCATCATTATAAACATCATTTGTGGATATGATGATTAAAATGTTCAGTAACGTTGGCCTTAACAATCGAAATTTTGTATGTTAAAGTAAAATTATATAACATTGAATATAATACGTAGATCTATGTGATTTTTGTTAATACTATTGATTTTGAAAAATAAATTAATTATTAATAAATTAAAGTATTCAGAAAAATAATCAAAGCTTAAGTGCTCAGGCACTGTCGTCCTAGGGGACTGTCATCCCAGTGGATGATTGGCGGTAATTACAGAACAAAAATTGAAATTAAAAGATAAGTACTTCTAATACAATTTCTAATGATAATTGATATTGTTATTGTTCATGGTTACTGTATCTTTCAGATAAAGATTCCAGCCAAGAATCGAGTGAGAGAACAA